CCATATCTCATTACTGTCATCATCTGCCTAGTCCTGGGATATCACCCTTCATTTTCTAATGATTTTAGCTAATGTCTCACTGTTACTCTTTTACAGACCACTCCAGCAGGAATTCTTCCAAGTTTCCATATATATATATAGAGAGATAATCCTTCCCTACGCTCTTTTTTCATACTTTTATTTTCTAATTTGTTAGAGAGAAATAGTATCTCATTGTTTTGGTTGTATTTTTTTTTAACCATGAGTGAGTTTGAAAATGTTTTCATATTTTCAAAAACCATTTCTCTATCTTTTCTGTTGAATCGCCTGTCCATATATTTTTCTCATTTTTCAATCAGAGTTTTGCTACTTAACACATCAGTTTTAAGGCTCTTTTTACCATTAGGAATATTAGTCTTTTGTTCTGATTACTATAAAAGTTTCTTCCCAGTTTTAGAGTTTTCACTGATTTTTATGTTGATTTTCACAATACAAATGCTTTAAAAATATTTTTACATACTCAAATTCATCAATCCTTTTACTTACTGCCTCTGGATTTTTTAAATCCTAGAAAGCCTTTCCCTGCACTGAGATTCAAGAGAATTTCACCCATATTTCATTGTCATACTTGTATAGTTGTGTGTTTTTTACTTTTGTATCTCTAACTGCATTTTTTTCTTTATACACATGTGAGATATGGATTTTTTTATTACAAATGACTACCAAGATCTTCAAGCACTGGGTGTTATACGAAAACAATGAATCGTGGATCACTACATCAAAAACTACTGATGTATGGTGACTAACATAATAAAATAAAATTAAAAAAAATATAAGTCTGAATAGTCAAGGCAATCTTGAGAAAGAACAAAGCTGAAGGCATCATGCTTCCTGATTTCAAACTATATTGCAAAGCTACAGTAATCAAAACAGTATGGTACTGGCATAAAAATAGATACATCTATCAATGGAACAGAATAGAGAGCCCAGAAATAAAGCCATACATATATTGTCAATTAATTTATGAAGAATATACACTGGGAGAAGAACAATCTCCTCAATAAATGGTCTTGGGAAAACAACAACCACAAGCAAAAGAATGAAACTAGATCACTACTTTTTATCATACATAAAAATCAACTTGAATTAAAGACTTGAATGTAAGACTTTAAACCATAAAACTCCTAGAAGAAAATATAGGTGTTATGCTCCTTGACATAGGTCTTGGAAATTATTTTTTGGATTTGATATTAAAAGCAAAGACAATAGAAGCAAAAACAAACAAATGGGACTATATCAAATTAAAAGCTTCTGCACAGCAAAGGAAGCTAATAACAAAATGAAAAGGCAACCTATAGAATTGGAGAAAATATTTGGAAATCATGTATCTATTAAGAGGTTAATATCTACAATATATAAAAAATTCATACAAATCTATACCAAAAAAGCAAAAAACAACCCAATCCAATTAAAAAATGGACAGAGGATATGTGAATAGACATTTTTCCAAAGAAGATATACAAATGCGTACCAGGTACATGAAAACATGCACAACATCACTAATCATCAGGAAAATGCAAATCAAAACCACAATGAGATACTACCTCATACCTATTAAAATGGTTATTATCAAAAACAAACAAAATAAAACAAAACCCACAAATATTGGTGAGAATGTAGAGCACAGGGAACTCCTGGTGGGAAAGTAAATTGTCACAGCCAATATGGAAAATGGTATGGAGGTTCTTCAAAAAATTAAATAATTAAAAATAGAATTACCATATGATCTAGCAATTCCACTTCTGGTATTTACTGGAGGGAAATGAAAACATTAACTCAAAATATGGGGGATATATATATATGTATATTATTCAGCCATAAAAAAGAAGGAAATCCTGCCATTTGCAACAACATAGATTGTGCCTGAGGGCATTATGCTAAGCAAGATATGTCAAGCGGAAAAAAATACCTATGATCTCAGTTATATGTGAAATTTTAATTTAATTTTTAAGATTTATTTATTTGACAGAGATACACAGCAAGAGAGGGAACACAAGCAGGGGGAGTGGGAGAGGGAGAAGCAGGCTTCCCGCTGAGCAGGGAGCCCGATGCGGGGCTCCACCCCAGGACCCTGGGATCATGACCTGAGCCAAAGGCAGTCGCTTAACGGCTGAGCCACCAGGCGCCCCTATATGTGAAAATTTTAAAAGAAAAAAAAAATTTTAACAGAGATCAAATTGGTAGTTGCCAGAGGCAGGGGGTGAGGATGGGTGAAGAGATCAAAAGGTACAAGATGCCCTTAATGAGATAAATAAGTGATTGGATGTCATGTACAGCATGGTGATTATAGTTAATAATACTGTATTATATATTTGAAAGCTGCTTTGAGAGTAGATCTTAAAAGTTCCCATCACAAGAAAAACGTGCCTTTCTGTGGTGACGAATGTTAAATAGACTTACTATGTTCATATTGCAATATATTGCATATATATACACACAGTGTGTGTGTATATATATATATATATCTCAAATCATGTGCAGTTGAAACTAATATAATGTTATATCAATTACATCTGAAAAAATAGTGAAAAAAATCTAAATTCTATCAGACCTCAAGAAAACATTGGAACTATATTGGTTGCAAAACTAAGACCTGCATCCCATCAAAAGTGGAAGGAAGGAAGGAAAAAGAGAAGGGGAGAAAAAAATAAAGTTTTACTCAAACCACTGTATAAATAAATAACCTACAAAGCTTAATATTCCAAGTTGTTTTGGCATAAAGTAGTGGTTTGAGGATCAGAAACACGTATAATATAATTCTTTAAAAAAATCTATTTTTGACATCTGGTATCTGCTCAGAGATGAGACACCTGGAAAGAATTTCGATTTTACAGGGGAAAAAAGGCTAAACTACAAATTCACAACTTCCCTTGAACCTATCTGGGCACTGAGGTTTCAGGTGAACAAAATCTAAGGAGGTGCCTGCAGGGAAAGATGGGACAGAGACGGGCGCCTGGGTGGCTCAGTCGTTAAGCGTCTGCCTTCAGCTCAGGTCATGATCCCAGGGTCCTGGGATTGAGCCCCACATCGGGCTCCCTGCCAGGCGGGAAGCCTGCCTCTCCCTCTCCCACTCCCCCTGCTCGTGTTCCTGCTCTATCTCTGTCTCTATCAAATAAATAAATAAACTCTTAAAAAAAAAATGATGGGACAGAGGCAGTGGCTTATTGGGCAATTAGCTACAAGGAAGTTTATTTAGCAGAGGCTGTGAATTAGTGGATATCAGGAGTGCACTGCTGAAGGAATGGGAAACCCCTTATGGGCCACAGAAACTGGGAAGTCTACTTCCTCTTCAGGATTTTCTCCTTGAACCCCATCAGGTGCTCATGGAAATTACTGGATAAAGTTATAAGAAGATGTCCTTAACACTCCAGACTTAGAGAAAGAATGGCAGGTATGGGGAGAAGGGCATGAAATTCTACTTTTTCCTTTCTCCACTCTATCCCTTCTGGAATAAAAGTTTGAATATGTGGAGGTTAAAAGCAATAAACACTATCACTGTTGGACATTGAAATAAACATATTACATCTAAAGGAAAGGGACAGAAACACAAACACAGAAACAAAACCTTGCTCCTGGAAGAGGAATGGAAATATGAACGGTGGGCCCAGAAACACATCTACGGAAGGGTAGGGCACCAAGAGGAATAGGAGCTGAGACTCAGGGACTTGATGCTTGCCTAAGACACAGGCTAAATCAGAAAGACAAAGTACATTGTCCCCCCAACACCAGGCTAAGAAGAGTTGAATATTGTATTAGAATTCTCCAGAGAAAAGAACCAATAGAGTGTGTAAACAGTACCCTCAATATTGCAGAATTTTCTGATTAAATTTTCAGCCACAAAACAGCTGCTTTCTGCTTTGTCTGCTTCTCACTCCCTGCACTTGCTCTTTAGGGGCTGGCCCAATGCCCTATGTGTATTATTGTTCATAAAATATTAGGTTCATGCATGGTTTTTATAATTGTTTTTTTCTTCATGATTATGTCTCGTGTCCTGGCAGCATGGTAGTGCTGAACTGTGTATAATTATGTTCTCCCTAACTCACTAAGAACTCAGCAGGACCTAGGTTACTACTTTCTCTCAAATTCTAAATATTTTTCAGGAGTCAGCAAATAATCAGATTTTCTAAAACATAGTTTCATTGATGAATCTGGAGGTTTTTTTAGTGTCCTGTTCTCAGAGATCTTAGCCTCTTAATTTCTGGCTCTCTTTGATGTTTCCTGGCAACTTTCAAGAGCTGTTTTCAATTTTTAAACCGAGGTTTTATAATTATTAGTGGTGGAGATTGCATCTTACATTTTGTTGAGCTCATTGATAATGTTTCTTCTAATGTCCTTTTCTCTATTAAATCTTTGTTCTTGGGTATGAACTGGTTTCTTGGTTACTTTTATTATATTGCTTTCTCATGCTGTTCACTATTCTTAAATTTTGGTAAGTCTCAGATGAGTGCATTTTTCATATGCTTTAATCTGTTTGTAGATACTGATTCACAACACAGTTTTCCTTTATTAATTATTACTGAGGGTAGTGTATGTGTGTATGTGGCAGGGTGAAATATGGGATATACAGCTGAAAATGGTATAGTCAAACTTACCTCCAATGACTGTGAGTTTATTTTTGAAAATTATGTTTAGTGTTTGATCATTTAGAATCTTGATCTCCTCATGCCTAGCAGATATAACAAAACCTATGCATATGTCCTCACCCCTCCTAAGCACAAATCTGAAATTTCTGCTCACGACTGAAAGAATAACTTTCTACTGTTAAATCCTTATGCTGAGGAGATGTGAACAGTGGGGAAAGATTATTATTTTGTATAAATAATCCTAACACAGTATTACCAGAAATAATTCTAGTATAATAAATCTTGCCTCCAAAAGATATATCCAAATCCTAATCCCTGGACTCTGTGCATATTATCATATTTGGAAAGAAGAGGTTTAAAGATGCAATTAAGTTTGAAATGGGGATAGCATTCCAAATTATCCAAGTGGGCACTCAATCCAATAGGAGACAGGCAGTGACAGAAGAGAAGAGAGACACCCAGAGGAGGAGGGAATGTGAAGAGGCAGAATCTGACAGAGATGTGAATGCCAAAGAAGGCCAAGGAAAGCTGACAGCCACAAGAAGCTGGGGAGTGGAAAAAAACAGATTTTCTCCTAGAGACTTCGCGGGGACTACAGAGCTGCCAATATCATGTTTGTGGACTTCGGACATCCGGAACTACAGAAGAATAAATTTCTGTAGTTTAGATGCTCCCAAACGAGGGTAATTTGTTACAGCATTCTTAGGAAACAGTTATCTTTCTGGAAGATATCACTTCTAGTTTTTGAATGTCTGTGAAAACAATCATTTTTCTCCCCCAGTATACCTCCCTATAAATGTTAAAAATTTGGTTAACTTCTTCAATATTATCCAATCCACTTGCCTTTTTTCAGAGATGCCTCATGAAATTTGGGCTACTGATTGCTTTTATTGCTTAGATACTGAAGAGAAAGCTGCCTGCCACAGTGGTCAATCCACTGTCTTAAAAACAATCTTCATCATTTGCTGAATATACTAATTCTAATCCACTTAATTAACAGTTAACATATTAAAATAAAGTTATTTAGAAGGAATTTTAATTTCAATTTCTAGTAATTGTTCAATTTTATTTTTAATGTACTTATGTATTTAATTTTATGTATTTAATGTATTTAATTTTAATTGTACTTAAATTGCTTGAATAAAAAATAGATTATTATAAATCACATAAAAAGAATACTACAACCAGTTTTCCTTTCTAGTGTGTCTTCCTTTTTACATCTAACTCATGTTGGAGCTACTCCAGCTATGTATGAAAGAATGAAAAGTATAGAAATTAAATACTATTGTGCAAAAAGAATATGGATAGCATGCTATTCAGCTTAGAAATTTGCTTGGGAAGGCATTTCTAACAGAATTTCTTAACCTTGGGGATTGCCAGAAGTAGCTGAAGTGATATTGTTAAGTGTTTACAATCCCTTTAGTAGAGATGGAGAATTAAACTCCACTTAGCAAATTTCACTCTTTCCCTTAAAGCTGCTTGCATTGCTAATGCAAAAAAAAAAAAAAAAAAAAAAAATAAACAACTAAATTATTTTCACAAGTTTCAGGGAGATTTATATAATCTAGACCTTTCTTAAGTTTCATTTTATACTTTGGAGTTTTGAGAGCTTTGATTTTTAAATACATGACAGATAGGATACAGCTTTAGAAGACTGCGCTTTGACACTATAATCGGTCCTATCACACACACTGAGATTTATTGTCATTTACAGTCACTTTGTACTCAAGGCAGAGGTTTAAAGCATTGGTTGTTAACACCTGTATTACAGACTTTGAAGAAACCCCTAGGGTTCGTCAGTCAGTTATGTAAGTTGAGACAGTAAATAACGAACTCGCTTGCCAGAACAGAAAAGACAGGTTATTTCTGTAGAGTTTAACAACCAAGACAAAATTACTGGTCTCATGACAGAAGCTTAAGTCCTATAATTAAACTCATTGCCCTGTGACCTTGGATGCTGATTGTCCATTCGATGTTGAAAGCAGCTACTGACTCACAGGTTCCAGGTGGCACAGATAGAACGTGACAGTGAAAACTGGTCAAAGATTCCGCCTGTTTCGGGGTATTAGAAACCATTCTTCACCAACATAAATGAATGATTCACAGTGATTCTACATGGTTAAATGTGTGAAAAGAGAGAATTGTAGTAAGGAAAATAATTTGTGATTTGACTATTATCTGGGCTCGTTTCTTAACCTCAGGGATTGCCAGAAGAAGCTGAAGTGATGTTGGTAAGTGAAAGTTTACAATCACTTTAGTAGAGATGGAGAATTAAACTCCATTAGCCTTATTTCAAATGAGGTTTTATATCATATTAAGGAGCTTTAAAAGAGCTTGTTATTGAGAACCATAAGATGATTAAACAAACACTTAAATATCTGACTTGTAGGGGCGCCTGGGTGTCTCAGTCGTTAAGCATCTGCCTTCGGCTCAGGTCATGATCCCAGGGTCCTGGGATCGAGCCCTGCATCAGGCTCCCTGCTCAGTGGGAGGCCTGCTTCTCCCTCTCCCACTCCCCCTGATTGTGTTCCCTCTCTTGCTGTGTATCTCTCTGTCAAATAAGTAAAATTTTGGAAAAAAAAAATATCTGACTTGTAAATACTTTCTTGATGACCTTTGGTCTCTCTGGGAGGACATGTTTACAGACCATTTTTCTAGAAGCCTGGAGGCTATCATATATAACTGACAAACACCAATAAATGAATCTCTTGTTGGGGTGCCTGGGTGGCTCAGTCAGTTAAGCAACTGACTCTTGGTTTCAGCTCAGGTCATGATTGCGGGGTTGTGAGATTGAGCCCCACGTCAGACTCCCTGTTCTGTGAGGAGTGTGCTTGAAGCTTCTCTCCCTCTGCTCCAACCCAAACACACACTCTCTTTCTGGCTCTCTCTCAAACAAATAAAATCTTAAAAAAAAAACGAATCTCTTGGGAAGATGGAATAGAGCATACCTATCAACCATTAGACATTGAGTATGGTTATCTATACATACAGATCATCAGATCTTACATATATCCTTTGATTACAAAAATAAGTAACTAAAAATCCTTACTTGAGGAATATTATATAACTGAAAAGCAATTCCACAGTATACCCCTGAACTTTAGCCATCATTAGGTCTTAATCTGACAAATCACAATATACAATTTTTCCCTGATACTCCAATTTCCATGCTGTTTGGAGCTAATATTGTTTAGTGCTTAATTCTAGCGTTAAGTCCTTCATGACTCTGGTAACAAGGTCCCAACAGGTAAGAAGTAACATCTTGGTTTTCATGTGTCTGAACCAACCCCATGGATCTACCCAAGCATTTTCCTACTCCCAGTGCTTCTCTCCACCTACTGTTTCAGCAGCCAGTAATATAAAGGGATCATCACATCAAATGTTTTTGTACTTTACATCTCCCTATTCCCCAAACTGACTGTTGCTCATATGAGTCTTTTAGTCTGAAACGTGTCTTGCTCCCTATGGGTTACAGATATTTCAAGTAAAGCTCAGATGTAAGAACAGTGCTAAATATACCCTAAAGTTTTGTTTTGTTTTTCAAATATAAGAAGACTACTTACAGACTTGCAATAGAGAGACTGCATGTCAAAAATATATACCTGTTATAAACAATAGTATTAGTTGTTTTTGTCACAGTTATTTTTATTATTCCATTCTATCTTAGTAATATTAAGGATTTAACGTTTAGAAATCTCTGTATATTAATGATATTTTTATAAAGTGAATGTCACTAGAAATTTTGATAATTGTATGTACTTATCATTTATCATAGACTTTAAAGTTTATAAATAATTTTCCATTAAAATTTTTGTATTTAGCATTAGAGAAGTTCACTTCATCAGTGGTTAAAGTAATTATATTTCTTTTAATGATAAAATGTTTTAAATAACTGATAAAAATAATGTATGTCCTGGGTGCATGGGTGACTCAGTCGGTTAAGCATCTGCCTTTGGCTCAGGTCATGATCCCCAAGTCCTGGGATCAAGCCCTGGATCAGGCTCCTTGCTCAGTGGGGAGTCTGCTTGTCTCTCTGCCCCTTCCCTGCCTCAGGCTCTCTCTCTGTCTCACTCTCTTTCTCTCAAATAAAAATAAAATCTTTAAAAAAATAATAATGTATGTCCTAAATAAACTTTCCTTCATTCTTTATTACATGGGTTCAATATAGACGTTCCTATTTCTGATTTTCATTTCTTCTCCTCCAACCATCCTCAAAACATACCTATTTTAAATTTTATTTAGTAAATTCTTTAACAATTTCTTTAATTTAAACATTTCTTTAATTTTAATTATTTAATTGCTTCAATGTTAAACTCTTATTCTAATTTTTCTAAGTACATTATGTAATCAACCAATTAATTTGAAGACTGATGTCAATGAAGCATAAAGTGCAAATAATTCAAGCAAATAAATTTTCAAATGGAAAGAGAATTCTATCACCAAATCGACAGTTGCTTACAGGATGAGAAATTACACAAAAGAAAATGATCTGGAAATTAGATAAAACCCTTGTATGGCACATAAGCCACAAAAATAGATTTTTATTTCACATGCAAAGTCATATTTGGAATCATACCCTAGAGCTTATTTTCTTTCATTACATCACACTGCAGAGAATATTTTTTCACAATTTCCATTGCTTCTTTCGTTCTTTTCCATATTCTTTTCATACTCATAGTGCACATACTCTCAAACAATCTGTTTAAACCCTAGTCTCATCTAAAATTCTAATGTCACTTGGAATAAAGTGGAAAAAATAGTGTAGCAGAACTCTGTTCACTCTTTAAGCTGTGTTTTAAAGTCCACCCAAGAGCTAGTTGTTACATATTACAATAGATAGGTTTTGCTTCAGAGGCTGATTACTTTTATTGATTAACACTACAGTTGATTTACCATCTTTCATCTGCCTAGAGAATGTGGATTCTTTCAGGAATAAGGTAAAGGTTGTTGAAAAAAACACTTGCCAAATGGTGTCCATTAGATTCTAACAGAAAGGAAGTTACTTCTCTTCTAGTTGAATAAGACTGAATAAGTAGTCCCGTGAACAAATCTGCAGACAAGCAAAAGCTTCAACACTGTGCAATTATAAAAGAATAGATAGCGATGTTTATACAATCCCCACAAAATTCATTATTTAAGAAGGCTGGGAAAATAATCATGCAGATAAACTGCAGTTATTTTGTTGTTTTTAGGTTGGGAAATTTGTAGTTTCTACTGCTATTTTTTTACTTTCTTACATATTTTTTTCAGTCTATATATTTAGAAAGAACTATGTATAAAGATAATGGCATCCCACAAATTCTGGTTTGTTCTAATGCAGAACTCAAATTTTCAACTATGTAGTCACTATTAAAAAATCATATGTCTCTCTTTAAAATAATTTCAGAGATGCGTATAAATTGAGTTTCAGAAATATCAATGTGGACAAGACTATAAAGTCAGTAAGAACCATAAAACTCCTGACACTCATGTAGTGCTACTTCCATCTGATTGAGTCATCTTTATAAATAATGGCATATCAACACCCAGCATAATCACTAGATAGGGCATTAAAAGGTACACTAACATATACATATATATATTTTCTATTTTATAAAATAGTGATTATCTCATTGCATTTAGGACAATTATATCCCTAAAAAATTTTTAACAATACAAAAACAACAACACAAATATCCAAGTA